TATTCTGATATGCCTCTGCTGGGTCAATTTGTGGTATTTTCATTATCATCATCAAGGGGCTAACGCCGACGAGCGGCGCATGGCCACATCCGCTCTTCGCTTCCAGCCACGGGGGTCCCTCAAGACAAGTCTCCAAGTAGGCCCTCGGCCCATCTCTAACTCCTCGCGGTAGGTCTCGTCGGGCTGCCCAGGCCATGGCCTCTTAGGTCGTCCCACGGGCCTCCTCCACCCAGGATTGTCTCGCAGAGAGACAACCTGATGGGCAGGGTCATGCACAGGGAAACGAGCTAGGTGCCTGAGTTGGCAATCCCGGATTAAGCAAGTCTCTCGGTGTAGCCGTCGGTTGGACACACGGTCCTGCCAATTGCCAAGACACTAGATAGCATCCAGGTTTTACTTCCATAGAGCATAACTGGCAGTGCCAAGGCCTTGAAAACACGTAGCTTGGTCCTTCTGCAAAGGTACCTGTTGATCGAGTTCATTGCTCTTGCTGTCAGATCAATCCATCTACTGACTTCTTGGTTTGACAGCCCAGAGATATGGATATGGACTACACTACCAAGGTATGCAAAGCTCTTTGTGACTTCAACGTCCTTATTGCAAGCATGGATTGACTGAATGGGTTTCCCTAACATGCAAGTGTACAGTCCATGCAGGTGGTGAATGAAAAGTGTTGGTGCAAGGACATAGCCTTGCCTCACCCCTGAATTAACAGGGAAGAAGTACGACAGGCGCCCACCACACTTTACAGCACTTTCAGTACCGGTGTATAGGCTTGCTATTAGGCCAACAACCTGTGTTGGAGTTCCCCAAAGTCCCATAATCTCCCATAGTGATTCTTGATGCACCAAGTCGAACGCCATCTTGAGGTCAGCGTAGACTGCTAGCATCCTACGAATGAACTCATAATGGCCATTCAACAATTACTTGAAGCGCTAGGATACAGTCTGTTGTGGACTTGAGTGAATCCAGACTGCTCTGGTACCTTAGTAGGTGGTCCAATTTAGAAAAAAAAAATGTGGGCGAAAACCTTTCCTGATATACTGAGCAGTGTAATACCATGGTAGTTGCTACAGTCCCCTTTCCCCTTCCAGTGAATGATAACCATAACCTCTCGACAGGTCAGGAGGAATGGTACCAGACTGCCAGATGGAAGTCAAGACTGCATGCAAGCCCTCTGCCATAGGTTCACTCCCAGCCTTTAGCAGTTCAGCAGGGATATCACATATGCCTGCAGTTCTCTCACACTTCAGCTTGGAAATCCCCATCCTAACCTTTAAGGTAGGAGGTTCCTCGCTGATGGGTGGGTCTGGCACAGGTATTGTGATACCACTTACATCCAAGCTAAATTGTGAAGGGTTTACCTGGTACAACTGCTCAAAATACTCAACATTCATAAACCCCAACATGATCTGAGATGATTCGTCCATCCATTGAGCGGACTGCAGTCATCTGCGAGGAGGATTTACAGTTCAGTTTTCTCAGGGCTTGGTAGACAGGGCCAAGGTCATTAACCAAGAAATGGCCTTGAATCTCCTCAGCAATATTCCTGATGAACTGCTCCTTGTCCCTTCTAAGCAGTGTCCGATCCCTATGCACCAAAGAGCGACACAAGTCCTGATTGTCTTTCAGCCAAGCCATATGACATGCTTCATTGGTCTCCAGTGTCTCCAGGGAGATGTAATTCTGCCTTGCCCTCTCAGCCGTATGCCAATGGACTCCTGCGCTGCATCGAGTATTTCATGCTTGAAGGACTCCCACAGAGCAACTGGGTGACTCCAGGTTTGTGTGCCCATGGGGAACCCATGGGCACATGGGTCTGTCAGCCTGTCCAATTGAAACACCCTAGAGTGGCCACTGGAGGGATGAGGAGTTTTGAAGTGGACCTGTAGGGTAGCCACTACCAGCCAATGGTCAGTGCCACAGAACTCGGCACTCAGGTAAACCCTGAAATTCTGGAGGATCCTCCATTGAGTGCTGACAAGAATGTGGTCGATCTCCTTGGCCACAGTACCCATATCGGTATACCATGTCCACTGATGTGGGTTGGATACCAGGAGCCAGAAATCCTCATTCTCTGGGACTTATCAAAGTCCCAGAGAAGGAGGCTGTTCTCACCACTGGTTCAGCTCCCGAGCCAAGGGGGTCGACAGACATCTCGTTATTATTATTATTATCATCTCTAACAATCAAAGAACCCAGCAAAAAACTTAACGACCATAAGCAACATCTCTAACGTTCAAACAACCAAACTAAATCTTTACCGACCATCCACAGCATCTCAAACACCTGACCATTCGCTATTACAACCGACCTCCACATTTTCGTTACCGCCATTACCGCAAATCGTGCAAATGCGAAGATGAAACCCGGACTTCGGATTAACATGTCTGTAACCTGTAACGTCCACACTGCAGATAAATTTTGCAATGAAAGCTATTAGCTGTATCACAACGTTGTATCAGTATTTACACCTTCATATGCAGGCAGAATCATTCATAAATCACGCCTGTCGACACCGAAATCTTGGCTCTAGCGACGCATTCGTATAATCTGCGGTAATGGTGGTAACCTCATTTCTACATCACAGCGTAGCAGAGCGAGCCAACGACTGCGAACTCAACACGATCTACCACTCTCTCTACAACCAACCATACGCCTGGTGGAACGTGGACCTAGGTACCCCTGCCTTCATCCAGGTCATCCGCATCTATCCTGACTACACACATCAACCCTACATGGATAGGTTTCACGACGTCGAGGTTCGTGTTTTATATAACGGGGTTTCGGTGTCTTGTGGAAGGCGCTGGGTTGATTTATATAATTTTTATCGTTATTTTTATTATTATTGATATCATCGTTGTTGTTTTGTTGTTGCATGTTATTGTTTTTATTATTATTGTAGTGAATATCCCCTGGCTTCAGGCAGGCTCCCGGGCCGTCTGTTCCCATGACGGCCCGGGAGCCGTCATGGGAACACGTCATTCTCCGCCCTGCAAGATGACGTGTTTTTTCTGTTTTATTCTTTTTATTTTATGTATTCTAAATCTTATTTTAACTCGCCATACACTATTTAATAAGTTAAACTGAATGCATTATGGGTACATCACCAAGCGCGGGAAGCCACCAGTATAAAAGGCCAAGCCAGGTCGGTCACAGAAAGAGGCTTTTATCTTGTGTGGGGACAGACAGTTGGATTTTTAGCAGGCTGACGGGCTGTGGCGGGTTGTCTCGGTTGTAACAAGTAAGTGTATGGTGTGCTGCCGTGTATACAGGTTATGTTCTGAAAGATTTTATGCGTAGTAAATGTATAATATGGATGCTCTTTTTATGGTGCCCTTT